TAGCTGTGAGGAGCAAGAGGGACTGCTGAAACCCCCCCATGCACAATATCAGGTCTGGAAAATGTGGCGGACACACAATTACGATACTCTCCTCAAGACTTCTGGCACAGCCACAAAATTTCGATTTTGGCACGTTTTCGATTTTTTGTGCTCGCTGACGTTTGACGGGGGGTTCTTTGACTGTCTAGCATTGCTCACTATCTCTATAAGAGTATTTCCAAAAAAATTAGGATCAACCACGTCAAAATCGAGCCTATAATTCTATATTTTTCGCATCCGGGTCTTTTTCGCATCTGGGTTTCAACTCTGTATTTTATATCCAACGCTCGCAGATATAAGAATCGTTGGCCATCTTCCAGGAGCCCCCATCTCTCCGTTGACCTCACGCCTATATTTTCCTGCGGCCTCGTAGGTCGAATCTTCTCTTTTCTTTGATCGATCCTGTGAACCACCTGCGGCGACCGGACAGTTCAAATAATTCTGGAGCGACTCCCCCGCCTTTAACCGCTGAGCCCAACATTTTCGTGGTCGGAATGAACAGTACTAGTACGCCTTCCAATAACAAAAAACAGGCGTGTCAAGCTAACAACGCTTCACTTCCAGGGAAAGGAAGGATCCTGGAGAATTACTAGTTCATGCCTGGTCTTACAGACGATACGTTCTGGCGAAAATGCCTGTGCCGCGGCCCGAAGCCGCCGACCTCGCGTACACCACTCGCAAAACTGAAGCCAACTTCTTCAATTTTAGCGCGTGACATCCGCGTTCCAAGCTCCTTTCCTCTTTATGGCGCAGCGGAAAACTCGACTATTCCAAATCCAAAGAAGAAAGAATGCCATGTACACACACCCCAATGACCAGAGCGTATGGATATATCACCTATGGCTTATTGGAGCAGGTTCGAATCTTATCCATTTACACTTTCCATATCCCGCACAGGCGACAAGGAAGTTCTGGATCGAGAAATCGCGGTCATCCAGGAGCTGTTAGCTGAGCACTCAGCAATCCGATAGCAAATGTCGGGCTGATTGCGCAATCTATCATTGATGGAATTTTAGGGTGCATGGAATCTCTCCTCCATTATAAGCGACTACGGCTTAGACAGCACCCTTCGTCGCTGGATGCGAGTATCGAAAACGATTGCCGAGACCTTCTGGGTAAGCTCCGGGTGTTCGATCCCGCACGTCGACGCAGATATGAAGATATAGGTAAATTAAGCGCCTTGGAGCATGCTACTCGCTAACGACGACGATTCTTTTTCAGAGAAGCAGTTGTAAATCAATATCGAGTTCTTCGTATCCCGAATCGATTTGATGTTTGTCATATGCATCTCCCGCACGTTCCCAGAATGAGCATGTCACGACAAATGCATAATTGATTCAGCGCCAACGAACAACAGCTATCATACAATTCCTTCTTCAAAGTCATGATGATGATAACGTGTTACAGGAATGTTCATGGTGGGGGAGCTCCAGTGCAGGGATTTAGCACTTGCACTCGCCGGGCTTGCAGGCGCAGCTGCAGAAGGAGGTTAGTCGACGCCAATATACCCAGAGGACTGATGACGCACCTAGCGCCGCAAGTGCAGTTGCTGTTGCCGCAGTTGTGGGAGACGGGGACTTGGGTGGTCTGGACGATAGGTAGTCAGTGTCCTGCATCGACGCGGGGGGGAGGGGGTGAATACTGACGGTGAACATTGTGGATTGGTGAGTGGGAAGTGGTTGTTTGGTGAGGCGGGTTGCGACCCCTTTAAATATGTCCCCGGTGTGGCTGTGCGCGTCGGGCCGGTTAGCCAATCGTGGGTGCTCACTTTGTCCATGCTTTTCCCAGTCCAGGCCGAAACGTTTTGTCCCAATTGTCTAGACTCTAGTGCCAAATCGAGCGCATGACGTGTGGGCCCACCTAAGCGAGCGCCGTCACCATTACGTTCGGACCTAATATGTCATTTATTTGTGGTAGTAAAAGCCCCTGAATTGCGTCGGAGTCCGTCAATAGGGCTTTTATTACATCATGTTCTCCTTTAGGCCTTAGGGCTGAGTGCCTCATCACACGGCTAGCACGGTACGTCACGGCATTTCCCGGCATTATCTCACGCATCCTGATAAGTTGCAACGGCGGCGGCAGCTACCACTCAGCCCCCCACTGCTCCGGAGTTGGTATAATTTAAAGGGTAGTACTCTATGTTGTCTTGCAGTCCACATGTTGAAATTCAATTGGGAGGTAGTATTTGCCATAGAAACCCCATTCTGTCGGAGGCCACCAATTTTCAACATCATTGATTTGGTGCACCCTACGGTTCAGAAATTAGTACCGCAGTCATAATATAAACTTCAGTGTTTCTTAATAGTCTAAAACTAGTGATTCTGGAGGGTATTGTTCCCAGGGGTCTGATCATAGGTACAAGTTGAAGCCTACATTTCGACCATATAAAATCATATATTCAGTTTGATAATGCAGTACTAAACATGACCAATGTTTAATTCATGTGTCAGCTGCTGGACAATGAGGGGGTGTGTTTACATACTGTATGTAATCCACCAGAGGCCTCCAGCTCAGTTATGATTTTGCATAGCACTTTGACTTCTTGAAACACACGGAAATCCTGCCAACTAAGATCAGAAACATCCTTATTTTGCTACATCATAGTTGAGGGCCTACATTTTCTTCAAGGGTGCCCTCCATCGTACCAGAACCTGATTGCTGTTGGAGTCTGTATGATCTGTGGCACAGATAATTGGGAACACACATAAAGCACTTGAAACTAATCGGAAACAGGTCAAATTCTGACTCATAGAGCAGCAAAAAAAAATACTGTAGGCCACTGGGAGGGAGCCTCCTGTCATATTTATCTGTATGATTCACAAGTCTTTTGCGCCTATGGGAAGGTGGAGGAGAAGCCTGTGCAAGAAGGCTTCAGTTTCACTCAATTCTATTGCACGTTCTGTGTCAGTATGTGTAGCTGCCATGGATGATAGGTTGGCATTCTTTGAAGTTGGGGACGAGGAAAAAAAAGACCGGGAGGATCGGATACGGGGAGTTGAACCCTGGTCCGGTTCAATGCATACGTGCGAGGACAACATGGATAGAGGCCGTGTACCGTATTCGCCATGTCCGAGTCATTCCTGAATCTGCGAAGGTTAATAAGTTGGCATGTTTTGAAACCGCGGACGGGAAAAAAAAAGGACTTAGAATGGTATATTCGAACACGAGGAGTCGAGCCCTGATCTGCGTCCGACACGAACTGCGTATGGACTACAGACAGAGGTACTAGTGTACCGTACACCATATCCGAGTTCTCGGCATAGCTGCGAATGTTAATAAGTTGGCATCTTTTGAGCCGGCGAAGTTCTTGTATACCTGCGAGGGGTTAACAAGGTAGCATTCTGTGAAGCACGCAGACGAGAAAATAGAGGAGGGGAAGTGGGCCCATTCGGACATGGGGAGTCGAACCCCGGGCTGCCTCAATATGTCTTTGGGGGAACTGTAAGGATGGAGGCGGTGTACCGTACACCATGTCCGAGTTCTCTGTGTACCTGCTACGTTGAATAAGTTAGCATCTTTTGAAGCAGGCGGACAAAAGAATCATAGTGACTGAAGTGGAATTCGAACACGGGGAGTCGAATCCGGGCTGCCTTTGATGTCAGCTGATCTGTAACGCAGAAAGGCCGTGTTCCGTACACCATGTCCGAGTTCTTGTATCCCTACGAAGGTAAATAAGTTAGCGTTTTTTGAAGCACGCAAATGAAAAAAAGAGGAGGGGAAGTAGTCTCATTCGGATACGGGGAGTCGAACCCCGATCTGCCTCCGATGGGTGATGCACTAGAAGACTGATATGCAGAGGCGGTGTACCGTACACCATGTCCGAGTTCTCTGTGTACCTGCTACGTTGAATAAGTTAGCGTTTTTCGAAGTGTGGACAAAAAAAAAAGAGCTGGATAATGGCCAATTCGGACACGGGGAGTCGAACCCCGGGCTGCCTCTTGCGCATATCACTATGAGTTAGAGTATTAAGGACAGAGGCGGTGTACCGTACACCATGTCCGATTACTTCTAACCCTGCAACGTTGAATAGCTGAGTGATTTTTCGAAGCGAGCAGCAAAATAAAATAAAAAGTCTAGGAAATCAACGAATTCGGACACGGGGAGTCGGACCCAGCTCTGCCTCATGCTTATAACTTGTATCAACCCAGTCAAAGGGAGAAGCCGTGTACGGTACACCATGTCCGAGTTCTTGTATGCCTGCGAGGGCTGATAAGTTAGCATATTTTGAAACCAAAACCGAAGAAAAAAAAAGCAACGTGAAAGATGGAGAATTCGGACACAGGGAGTCGAACCCCGGTCTGCCTCTGATAAGTTCTGAATACCCGGACAAGGAGAGGCGGTGTACCGTACATCATGTCCGAGTTCTTGGATACCTGCTATGTTGAATAAGTTAGCATATTTTGAAACCAGAGCCGATGAGAAAAAGAAATGTGAAGACTCCTAAATTCGGACACGGGGAGTCGAACCCCGATCTGCCTCCGACGCGCGAAGACTACTCCTACGGGCAGAGGCGGTGTACCGTACACCATGTCCGAGTTCTTGTAGAGCTGCGAGGGTCAATAAGTTCGTATTTTTCGAAGTACGCAGACAAAAAAAAATGTTCACGAATTAGTTCATTCGGACACGAGGAGTCGAACCCCAGGCTGCCTCTAATACGTCTAGAGCGAGGTGATAAGGAAAGAGGCCGTGTACCGTACACCATGTCCGAGTCGTTGTAGAGCTGCGAGGGTCAATAGGTTAGGGTTTGTTGAAGCGCACGGACAAAAAAAAAGCCATGGATACCCGTAATTCGGACACAAGGAGTCGAACCCCGCTCTGCCTCATGCCCGAAACGCCGGAGACCCAGCGAGGGAGGCCGTGTACCGTACACCATGTCCGAGTTCATTGTGTACTTAGGAAGGTAAATAAGTTGGCATCTTTTGGATCGAAGAAAGAAAAAAAATACGACAGATCTTGGACCATTCGGACACGGGGAGTCGAACCCCGGACTGCCTCACAAAGGCTGCGATGGAAATTTGCAGCGAGGGAGGCCGTGTACCGTACACCATGTCCGAGTTCTCTGTGTACCTGCTACGCTGAACAAGCCAGTGTTTTTGAAATGGGCTGAATAAAATTTTTAAAAAAGCTCTGTCCCTGGACCGCATTCGGACACGGGGAGTCGAACCCCGAGCTGCTTCTTCTACATTTGACTCTGCTAAAGAGAGAGGCCATGTACCGTACACTATGTCCGAGTTCTCTGTGTACCTGCTACGTTGGATAAGTTAGCATCTTTTGAAGTTGCGGATGAGGAAAAAAAGAGCTGGATAATGGCCAATTCGGACACGGGGAGTCGAACCCCGGGCTGCCTCTTACGCTAAGAGCTGGACCAAGGACAGAGGCGGTGTACCGTACACTATGTCCGATTCCTTTGTATACCTGGGAAGGTTAATAAGTTGGCAACTTTTGAAGTTGCGGATGGGGGAAAAAAGAACTGGAATATGGGCACATTCGGACACGGGGAGTCGAACCCCACTCTGCCTCTAATACATGTGGGGATAGATGCTAAGAACAGAGGCCGTGCACCGTACACCATGTCCGAGCTCTACACCTGCGACCTCGGATAGGTGAGCATTGAATTCGACCTCAGACACAAGGATGGACAAAAAGAAAGAGACAGAGACACCGTGGAGCGTCGCGATCACGCGTCCCGCAGTGAAGAATAGGCGGGATATGAATAGCGTGACGCGCTCCCGCGATTGATAGGGTTCGGGGTTTGAGTTCAGCTGCAAGGGGTTACTCGTCCAGCAATGAAAAGCGAAAATATGTTATTGCCTTTCCCAAGTATTGATCTAACTAGAAATGACCTTGATTGAGTCAACCCATTTTTTGGCTACTGATCTGTCTACACTTTTGGCCCTCACCTTATTGATCCAACCTTCGGCTGGTTATTGACCTGACAAAGTCAGTCTTATTGATCCAACCTCACTTCCTTACTTACTGACTCGCCCAGCATTTTGTCATCTTGATTCAACCCGGTCACGTTATGGAAACAACCTTATCTTTTTTGGAGGGCAGAGTTGTTGACTTAACCTTACTTTCTGAGTAGGTCATGTTATTGAATCAATCTCCCTTTGGAATGGCGTGATTATTGAAACAACCTTACTTTTATTCCCGGTCACGTTATGGAAACAACCTTATTTTTTTTGGAGGGCAGAGTTGTTGACTTAACCTTACTTTCTGAGTAGGTCATGTTATTGAATCAATCTCCCTTTGGAATGGCGTGATTATTGAAACAACCTTACTTTTATTAAGGACGGCAAGTTGTTGAATCAACCTCACTTTTTTTTGGATGTGTCAGTCAAGGTCAGTTATTGAGACGACCAGGCTGTTCGATGGTTCATGTTACTGAAACAACTGGCACTTCACGGCTTCCACACCATACCAGAGGTCGAGGCTCCCTGACGCCGTAATGTTTATATTTCTGGAATGTCACTGAATAGCTATGGGAGTCGTCGGGAATAGCGGGGAAATGTTCAGGGTCCCGGACGCGTATTCTCGACGTGTCCTGAGGTCGCGTAGCACATGTAAAAATTCAGACTATATCCAAACGACCCGCGGTCTTCATCCATCCTCCACAACTTCCATGTGTGTAACCTGACTTGCAAGGTATCACGCGACGCGCGTCGAGACCGTCGAGATACGTCGTTCTAAGTTGCGCCGAATTTTGGGGTGAATTCGGCAGATTGTAGCCCAGAAAAGGAGAGTCGGCTGAAAGACGAACAGATCAAAAGTTGCGTTTGATAACGTGACCGTGCAAAAGCTGGGTTGGTTCAATAACTGACCATGTAAAAAAAGTGGAGTTGGTTCAATAACACGACAGCACAGAAAGTCAGGTTGATTCAACAACTCAAGAATGCTAGGTCAACAATGTAAATGGGTTAGATCCACAGCAGCAAACTGGGGTTAAGTCAAGAGCGGTCAAAGTCGGGTTAAGTCAGTAGGTGGAAAGTGCTGGATCAATAGGTGAAAAGTGTGGGTCAGATCAATAACCGGTGGGTGGTTGCATCAATAAGTTCAGGCTCCAGTTGAGTCAATAACTTTAAAAGGCAATAACATGTTTTGCAATGAAAAGAGAGGATCATTTGGAATTAGGGGGCGAATCCACGTCTTGAAGGAGTAAGGGGAGCCAAGATAATGAACGGAGGGAGAGGATTAGAGCCGTTTTGGTTAAACTGAAATCCGGGCGCGTCGCATGATGTGTACCCACCGAGTAAACTTGGAGTAAACACTAGTTATGGCACAGTTGTGGCACTCGCGGCGCTCGCGCGGTGGACGCGGGGTGTGTGGAACCGATATCGATTGTGTGAGGGCGATGAGAGTGGGATCGCACTGGAATATTAATGTCGGAAATCGCAAGCGAGTAGGGTGTTTCAGCCGGGCACGTAGTCTGCGTGTAGAATGACGGCGACGGGTACCCGTGCATCGGAAGGGGAGAAAGACTGCGTAGTTTTATGGCCATCCAAGTCTTCAAATGTGACGCCTCTGGGGGTGGGTTGCCAGGCAGCGACGACGATGGTGTCGTGGTGGTTGGAAGCCAGAAGAAACGTTCGGTTGCGATTATTTCTGATGACACGTTACTCGGCTATCACGGCCTCTCAGAGCAGACCACTGGCCGTGCGAGAACACTACCAAGGAGCGCCGCGCTGCGTCACGCCCGACGATAGCAAACCTGGCGTCACAGGGGCTCTTTCCCTTTACGTCGCGTTGATCAGACGTTCAACGCATCCTCAATTTCTACAATGTTGCTCTGCAGATCTGCGCGGCGGCATCCACCCGCCCAATGTCATCGCCATGGCCTTGTATCGGCGGCATAGCCCAGGTCCTTGCCGGAATATCGTAATCGCTGCCCCGTACAAATGATCTGGGCACCGACTGATATAGGGCAGTACAAATTTCACCTTGGCATCCAGCGTATTCTAACTCTCATACGCAATGATTGCTCATCCCTACCTGGGGCATCGTCGCGTCGTACAAGATAGACAGCGCGCTGGAGTCTTCCTCTTTGCGTGCCTCTTCATCACCACTCCCCTCCTCTGCATTCCTGATATTTTATATCCACCACTCGCGGATATAAGAATCGTTGGCCATCTCTCCTTCTAGATTACCTCACGGTCTTTACCCCTATATTTTTCCTGCAGCTTCGTAGGTCGCCGATCGATCCTGTAAACCACCTGCGGCGACCGGACAGTTCCAATAATTCTGGAGAGACTCCCCCGCCTTTAAGTAACTTCAGAATCCAAGATTTTCGAGGTCGGAATGAATGCGCCTTCCAATAACAAACAACAGTCGTGCCAAGCGAACGACGACGGATCCTGGAGAATTACCAGGCTGACAGAGTCGGTGAGATCCTCGCTGCAGGCGCACTCCAGTTCAATCCCCCAGCTCAGAAAACAGGTTCACGGGCAACCACTCCGGTGGCTCCAACGATTTGATCTTTGAACCGTATTCGGGACAGGGGGCGAACTGCACTTTAACGTTCTTGTCTTGTCCGATGTAAGTCTCCGACAGTATGGCCTGGCCTTGGCAAAATGCATGGAAAAAAAACAGCATTCAATCCGTCAGCAAGAATTCAATTAAAAAGCTCTGTCCCTGGACCGCATTCGGACACGGGGAGTCGAACCCCGGGCTGCCTCATGCACGAAACTGTATGATATAGAGAGGGAGGCCGTGTACCGTACACCATATCCGAGTTCTCTGTGTACCTGCTACGTTGAATAAGTTAGCATCTTTTGAAGCACACAGACGAAAAAAAACGCAGAGAACACTGGACATATTCGAACACAGGGAGTCGGACCCCGGGCTGCCTCTTGCGCATGTCATTACGAACTAGAGTATTAAGGACAGAGGCGGTGTACCGTACACCATGTCCGAGTTCTCTGTGTACCTGCTACGTTGAATAAGTTAGCGTTTTTTGAAGTTGCGGACGGGAGAAAAAAAGAACTGGAATATGGGCACATTCGGACACGGGAAGTCGAACCCCGGGCTGCCTCTGATAAGTTCTGAATACCCGGACACGGGGAGTCGAACCCCGCTCTGTCTCATACTCTCACTTCCAATTAAACCAAGGAAAGAGGCCGTGTTCCGTACACCATGTCCGAGTTCTTGTGGAGCTGCAAGGGTCAATAACTTAGCGTTTTTTGAAGTGTGGACAAAACAAAACAGAAAACCGGCACAGAAAACCATTCGGCCATGGGGAATCGAACCCCGGACTGCCTCACAAAGCTTGTGGGAGAATGGTAGCGAGGGAGGCGGTGTACCGTACACCGTATCCGAGTCATTCTTGAGTCTACGAAGGTCAATAAGTTAGCGTTTTTCGAAGTGTGGACAAAAAAAATATGCACGAAAATACCATTCGGACACGGGGAGTCGAACCCGGATTGCCTCTGATCTCGAACTTTTTCAAGGAGAGAGGCCGTGTACCGTACACCATGTCCGATTCCTTTGTATACCTGAGAAGGTTAATAGATTAGCATCTTTTGAAGCATGGACCAAAAAAAAACATGCACAGTAAGGAGCCATTCGGACACGGGAGTCGAACCCCGGACTGCCTCCGATGTAATATAGGTCAACATGGAGAGAGGCGGTATACCGTACACCATGTCCGAGTTCTTGGTTTCCCAGATACGTTGAATAACTGAGCAATTTTGATGGGGTGAGCAGAAGAAAAAAACTGCTGAACTGGGAATTCGGACACGGGGAGTCGAACCCCGGGTTGCCTCCGATGTAACATGCAAATGGATCAATATGGAGAGAGGCGGTGTACCGTACACCATGTCCGAGTTCTTGTATACCTGCGAGGGTTGATAAGTTAGCATCTTTTGAAGCGCGCGGACGAAAAAAGGCGAGGGAAAGCCTGACATTCGGACACGGGGAGTCGAACCCCGGTCTGCCTCATGGTTATAACTTGTATCAACCCAGTCAAAGGGGGAAGCCGTGTACCATACACCATGTCCGAGCTCTCTGTATAGCTGCGAGCTTGTATAGATGAGCATATTTTGAAACCAAAACCGAAGGAAAAAAAGCAACGTGAAAGATGGAGAATTCGGACACGGGGAGTCGAACCCCGAGCTGCTTCTTCTACATTTGACTCTGCTAAAGAAAGAGGCCATGTACCGTACACCATGTCCGAGTTCTTGTATGCCTGCGAAGGTAAATAAATTAGCATGTTTTGAACCGGCGGAGCCAACAAAAATATCGAAACCATCGCCCATTCGGACACGGGGAGTCGAACCCCGAGCTGCCTCGTGCATTCGTTGTGGAGCAGTCTTTAAGCGAGAGAGGCCGTGTTTCGTACACCATGTCCGAGTTCTTGTATGCCTGCGAGGGTTGATAAGATAGCATTCTGCGAAGCACGCGGACGAAAAAAAGAATGCGGGAATCGTGGATTCGGACACGGGGAGTCGAACCCCGCTCTGTCTCATACTCTCACTTCCAATTACATCAAGGAAAGAGGGTTCCGTACACCATGTCCGAGTTCTTGTAGAGCTGCAAGGGTCAATAAGTCAGCGTTTTTCGAAGTGTGGGCAAAACAAAACAGAAAACCGACACAGAAAACCATTCGGACATGGGGAATCGAACCCCGGACTGCCTCGCAAAGTTTGTGGGAGGATTAACAGAGAGGGAGGCGGTGTACCGTACACCATATCCGAGTTCTCTGTGTACCTGCTACGCTGAACAAGCCAGTGTTTTTGAAATGGGCTGAATAAAAAAATTAAAAAAACTCTGTCCCTGGACCGCATTCGGACACGGGGAATCGAACCCCGCTCTGCCTCATGCCCGAAACGCCGGAGACCCAGCGAGGGAGGCAGTGTACCGTACACCATGTCCGAGTTGTCTGTATGCCTGCGAGGGTCAATAAGTTGGCATCTTTTGGGTCGAAGAAAGAAAAAAAATACGAGGGAACTTGGGAAATTCGGACACGGGGAGTCGAACCCCGCTCTGCCTCATGCTTACAACATCATCTCAGCCAAAGCGAGGAGCCGTGTACCGTACACCATGTCCGAGTTCTCTGCGTACCTGTGAACTTGGATTGGTGAATGATTTTTTTGGAGCCGGCGGACAAAAAGTCCGCCCAAGAATGCCATTCGGACACGGGGAGTCGAACCCCGAGCTGCCTCAACCATGGATTGATCTCGGTTAAGAACAGAGGCCGTGCACCGTACACCATGTCCGAGCTCTCTGTACACCTGTGACCTTGGATGGGTGAGCATTGAATTCGACCTCGGAGACAAGGACGAAGAGAGAGACACCGTGGAGCATCGCGATCACGCGTCCCGCAGTGGACCAAGAATAGGCGAGATATGAGTGACTGAAGTGGAATTCGAACACGGAGAGTCGAACCCCGGGCTGCCTTTGATATAAGCTGATCTGTAACGCAGAGAGGCCGTGTACCGTACACCATATCCGATTCCTTCGCAAACCTGCGAGGGTTGATAAGTTAGCATATTTTGAAACCAGAGCCGATGAAAAAAAAGCAATGTGAAGATTCCTGAATTCGGACACGAGGAGTCGAACCCCGATCTGCCCCACACTTCCACCTGAAACTTGCCCCAAGGAAAGAGGCGGTTTACCGTACACCATGTCCGAGTTCTTGTATGCCTGCGAAGGTAAATAGGTTAGCGTTTTTGAAGTCAGGGTCGAAGAAACAAAACAAAAAACACCGAGCTTAGACTAGTAATTCGGACACGGGGAGTCGAACCCCGACCTGCCTCTGACGTTACAGCGGTCCACGTTGAATATGGAGAGGCGGTGTACCGTACACCATGTCCGAGTTCTTGTATGCCGGCGAGGGTTGATTAGCATTCTGCGAAGCACGCGGACGAAAAAAAGGATGCGGGAATCGTGGATTCGGACACGGGGAGACGAATCCCGGTCTGCCTCATGCATTCGTACTCGAGCGGTCGTTGAGCGAGAGAGGCCGTGTTTCGTACACTATGTCCGAGTTCTTTGTATAGCTGCGAGCTTGTATAGGTGAGCATATTTTGAAGCACGCGGACAAAAAAAGATGACGGGAGCCTAGTATTCGAACACGGGGAGTCGAACCCCGGTCTGCCTCTGATAAGTTCTGAATACCCGGACAAGTAGAGGCGGTGTACCGTACACCATGTCCGAGTTCTTGTATGCCTGCGAAGGTAAATAAATTAGCATGTTTTGAACCGGCGGAGCCAACAAAAATATCGAAACCATCGCTCATTCGGACACGGGGAGTCGAACCCCGGTCTGCCTCTGATAAGTTCTAAATACCCGGACAACGAGAGGCGGTGTACCGTACACCATGTCCGAGTTCTTGTATACCTGCGAAGGTAAATAAATTAGCATGTTTTGAACCGGCGGAGCCAACAAAAATATCGAAACCATCGCTCATTCGGACACGGGGAGTCGAACCCCGGTCTGCCTCATGCTTATAAAACCATCTCAGCCAAAGCGAGAAGCCGTGTACCGTACACCATGTCCGAGTTCTTGTGAGCTGCAAGGGTCAATAAGTTAGCCTTTTTCGAAGTGTGGACAAAACAAAACAAAAAACTGGCACAGAGAACCATTCGGAAACGAGGAGTAGAACCCCGGGTTGCCTCCGATAGGTCAGTTACACAAGTGCAATATACACCATGTCCGAGTTCATTGTGTAGCAGCGAAGGTTAATAAGTTGGCATCTTTTGGGTCGAAGAAAGAAAAAAAATACGACGGATCTTGGAACATTCGGACACGGGGAGTCGAACCCCGACCTGCCTCTGACGTTACAGCGGTCCACGTTGAATATAGAGAGGCGGTGTACCGTACACCATGTCCGAGTTCTTGGATGCCTGTGAGGGTTGATAAGTTAGCATTCTGCGAAGCACGCGGACGAAAAAAAGGATGCGGGAATCGTGGATTCGGACACGAGGAGTCGAACCCCGGGCTGCCTCTGCTTTCAAAGCACTTCTTCAAGGAGAGAGGCGATGTACCGTACACCATATCCGAGTTCTTGCATGCCTGCGAGGGTCAATAAGTTAGCGTTTTTCGAAGGGTGGACAAAAAAAAATATGCACGAAAACACCATTCGGACACGGGGAGTCGAACCCCGTTCTGCCTCGGATACCTGGGAGACTTATCTAAAGACGGAGGCGGTGTACCGTACACCATGTCCGAGTTCTCTGTGTACCTGCTACGTTGAATAAATTAGCATCTTTTGAAGCGCGCGGACAAAAAAAAAGAACTGGAATATTCGCCATTCGGACACGGGGAGTCGAACCCCGGTCTGCCTCTTGCGCATGTCACTATGAGTTAGAGTATTAAGGACAGAGGCGGTGTACCGTACACCATGTCCGAGTTCTTGTAGAGCTGAGAGGGCTGGTAAGTTAGCATTTTTTGAAGCACGCAGACGAAAAAAAGAGGAAGGAAATGGGACCATTCGGACACGGGGAGTCGAACCCCGGACTGCCTCATGCACGAAATTTTATGATATAGAGAGGGAGGCCGTGTATCGTACACCATGTCCGATTCTTTTTATCCCTATAAAGGTTAATACATCAGCATTCTGCGAAGCACGCGAACGAAAAAAGGATGCGGAAATCGTGGGTTCGGACACGGGGAGTCGAACCCTGGTCTGCCTCTGATAAGTTCTGAATACCCGGACAAGGAGAGGCGGTGTACCGTACACCATGTCCGAGTTCTCGTATCCCTGCGAGCTTGGATTGGTGAGCGATTTTTGAGTCCATAAGTCTGAGAGAGAAAAAAAAATGGGGGCAACCAGGCATCCGGACACGGGGAGTCGAACCCCGCTTTGCCTCTAATACATGTGGGGATGGATGCTAAGGATAGAGGCGGTGTACCGTACACCATGTCCGATTCCTTTGTGTAGCAGCGAAGGTTAATAAATTAGCATTCTTTGAAGCCGGCGGACAAAAAGACCGTCGAAGAGTGCCATTCGGACACGGGGAGTCGAACCCCGAGCTGCCTCAACCATTGGGATGATTTCGGTTAAGAACAGAGGCCGTGCACCGTACACCATGTCCGAGCTCTCTGTATACCCGCGACCTCGGATGGGTGCGCATTGAAATCGACCTCAGATACAAGGACGAACAAAAAAGAAAGAGATAGAGACCGTGGCAAGCATCGCGATCACGCGTCCCGCAGTGGACCAAGAATAGGCGGGGTATGAATAGCTTGACGCGCTCCCGCGATTGATAGGGTTCGGGATTTGAGTTCAGCTGCAAGGGGTTACTCGTCCAGCAATGAAAAGGGAGGATCATTTGCAATTGGCCGGCGAATACACGTCTTGAAGGAGTAACGAGAGCCAAGATAAAAATGAATAATGAACGGAGGGAGAGAGGATTAGAGCCGTTTTGGTTAGACTGAAATCCGGGCGCGTCGCATGATGTGTACCCACCGAGTAAACCCTCCGTTGTGGCACAGTACTAGTTGTGGCGCTCGCACGGTGGACGCGGGGTATGTGGAACCGCTATGGATTGCGTGAGCGCGATGAGAGCGGAATTGCAACTGCAATATTAATGTCGCGAGTCGCAAGCGAGTACTTAGGATGTTTCAGGAGGGGCAGCGGCAATACACGTAGTCTGCGCGTAGAATGGTGGGCGCACAGGGACGGCGGCAGCTGACAAAGTGCATTTGCAATACAATTCTATAACAATTTATATTGGATCCGCCCGCCTCGGCTAGGTCTCCGTCGGCTAACATCCCCGCATCACGCGATGCGGGGCTCGGTGGGGCATTTTCAACGCCGAGGCAGAGGTGGGCAGGGAGGCCTCGGTCAACGACGGAGAGTACAATGCTCACAGTCGGGGACGGGAAGCGAACAGAGCTCGGGGAAAGAAGAAGAAAGCAGAAGAAGGGACGCGAGCGGTGGCGGTGGACCCCAAAACTTTGTTGACTTTTCGTGATGGATGCGTTAGTTAGCCGGCTGTCAGCTGTCTTTTTATATTCCCGCAAAAAACAAAATCAGCCCATCGCCCTCCTTCCCTCTCTCCCACTACTTTGCCAGTCTCACCACCACTGCAAAAATGAGCGACATCGAGAAAGGCGTTGGCAGCAACAACCACTACGAGGCGACGCGCGTGCCGCGCCCGAGCACGATCGCGAACCCGGCGGCGTTGGGGCTCTTCTCCTTCGCGTCGACCACGTTCATGCTCAGCTTCTACAACGTCTCCGTGCGTGGCATCCACACCCCCAACGTCGTCGTCGGCATGGCCCTCTTCACGGGCGGCATCGCCCAGCTGCTCGCGGGCATGTGGGAGTTCCCCCGCGGGAACGTCTTTGGCGCGACCGGTGCGTTACTCACCCATGCATGTGCATGAACGATGGACTGATGCGGCTGCCAGCGTTCACGTCGTACGGCGCGTTCTGGCTGTCGTACGCGTCGATCCTCATCCCCGGCTCCGGCATCGTCGACTCGTACAAGGACCCCGTGACAGGCGTCCTCAACGCCGCCGAGTTCAGCTCCGCCCTCGGCATATTCCTCTTCTCGTGGTTCATCGTCACCGTCCTCCTCCTGTGCGTCCTTCTCCCTCAATTCCTCCGCGTTCCTTCTGTTTTTTCCGGCCTTCATCCCCGCGTCCTATTCCTGTCATTTCCCCCTCAACACCTATCACCCCCGCCACCGCGCCACGCCATCCATCCATTCAATTCATTCAACACATACATACATTACATTCAATTCTCTACGTCTGATCATCAGCTCGTACCTCGCCGCCATCATTCGAAGCCGCGTCGCATGACCCCACCCCGCCCTCTTCGCACCTTCCCACGTTCCGTCGTCCATTCCATTTCCACCTCTCCGGACATTTCATTCCGGCGTTACCCCGCTCTCTCTTTTTTTTTGGCATCCCCGCCCGCTACCCGCTACCCGTCCCCTCTCCTTCATTCCGCCCCTCCGTTTGCGTTCTGCATTCCTGTCTTACCTTACAATTCCCACCACCTCCATCCCCATCCCCATTCCATCCCCGAGCGCCCACCCGCTACCCATCCCCGGGAACAGCCCCCGAGCGCCAGGCACGCTGATCCAGATCCGTATCTGTTATCGCTTACGGAGCCGCGATCCGCTGCGCGTCTTTCCCCGTGGGCCGTTTGGCGATTCCCGTTTTGCATTTGCCGTTTTGCATTTGCCGTTTTTCCGCGGTCGGGTCGGGTATCTGGGCCCAGTGGAGGTCGGGTATCTGGGGATACGTGAAGGTCGGCGCAGGTGGAACTGGAGCGGGCTCTCCACTTCGAAGCGCAGTTTCCCCGTTTTCCCGATTTTCCGGGGATTCGCCGGTCCGGGGCTGCGCGCGGGTGCGGGTTCGGGTTCGGTTCTTTTTGTTCGGTGCTTTTTGTTCGGTGTTTTTTGGGCGGTGCTTTTTGGGCTTTTGGGGTTGCGGGCGCGCGGCGCGGATTACGCGTTGACACACCGGCGCGGATTGCGCGCCAACGGCGATTACGCGTCCCTTCCCTTTCCTCTATCCCCCTTTTCTTCACTCGCCTTTTTTGCTTTCAACCTCTTTTTCAACCCCAAAACTCCCCAAACTCGACTGAAATCTAACTAATCGCATTTTGTGTATAGGATCGCCTCGCTGCGCAAATCCATCGCGTTCATCGCGCTCTTTGGCTTCCTCGCGATCACGTTTGCGCTCCTTGGTGCGGGGGAGTTTACTGGGAAGGAGCAGTGAGTCGACTTTTTTGTTTGTTGATGGGGAGAGGGGAGCTGTGAGCGAGGGAGCGCGTTGGGACGCGTCTTTGGAGTTGGGATGCCTCCAGTTGGGGGCGAACGTGCCTTGGCGAACGTGTCTCTCGAGCTCCGTCCCCCCTCCCTCCTCCCTCCTCCCTCCCTCCCCCTCCATCTTCAACTTATTCACCCCATTTTCTTTCCGCAGCGTAACCACCGCCGGCGGCGCCATGGGCATCATCACCGCCTTCATCGCGTACTACATCGGCCTCTCGGACCTGCTCGCCGCCGAGCGCGCGGCCGTCGTGGGCCTGCCGACGGGCGGGTTTAAACACGATTAAGGGTGTTTAAAACATGAGTTTAAGTTATCGTCTACCGGAGGAGGGGAGGGTTGAGTTACTTTACTGTAGTTGAGTATCGTCCGCGTTACTTTATCATTAGTCAGAGAGTGGGAGGAAGGAGAGATTTCTACATATGTTCGCGTTCATATCATACTAGTTTGGCGTTCAATTCAGAGACACTCGTTTAATCGTTTTTTTGGTGCCGTGCGTTTGGTTGTTGGGAGTTATGTTCCTTGCGATGACTAACAGGCGTTGGTTGTGTTATGTTTGTGGTTCAACGATTACATAAACATACGACTAAGTCCTTGGCCATACGAGTCAGATACTATTACTTGAGCTTGAGCTTGGAGGGGTATATAGCCTTTGATGCAGCATGCTAGGGATCTCAGACATGGTGTAGTGGTAACATGGCCTCTCTCTATCGGATTATTTCTTCTTCTCCTGAGGCAGTCCCGGGTTCGAACCCCGGTGTCTGAATATGTGATCCATTTCACCCTTTTTTGTTTCAGTTTGCTTTAAAAACATTTTAGTAGGTCTGGTATTCGTTCCCGCCGTACCAACTATTAATTCCGCGAAAATGGCTCGTTGTTGCGTTGGGACTCGGAAGAGGAGTTGGTTGAATACCCGGTAAAATCCGGCGGAGTTCCAATTCACTTACCTCCGTGCCAGCCAATGTTTCCAATGATACTTAGAGGAGGGTATTTAGCCCTTGATGCAAGGTGCGAAGGTCAGACATGGTGTAGTGGTAACACGGCCTCTCTATATAGGATCTCAATACCATAGTTCTGAGGCAGTCCTGGGTTCGAACCCCAGTGTCTGAATTGTTGTAACAACACCATAGTTTTTTATTGGAAAACAGTCCGACATTTATTTAAATTCATTCGTCGGTTCAATACATTGCAACGGTGCGCATTTTGTCTCGGATGTGGTTCAATCCAATCTGAGCGGCGAAATCCGACGGAGTTCCAATTCATATTTCCTTCCTTAGATACTAAACTTATGAGCTGGGATGGGTATTTAGCCCTTGATGCACCAGAGGAAGAACATCAGATATGGTGTAGTGGTAACAGGGCCTCTCTTTGTGGTTTTGATAGAAATGACTCTGAGGCAGTCCTGGGTTCGAACCCCGGTGGCTGAATGGCGACGCTCAATCTCATCTTTTTTTTTTTTTTTTTTGTTGGAAAACATTCCGGTAGGTCCGACATTCATTCAATTCGTTTCAACACAATGCTACGGAGCGCTTTTTTGCTCGGATGTGGTTCAAACTTCAATCAGAAGCGGCAAAATCCGGCGGAGTTCCAATTCACATTTCGTTGCTCTCCACGAGCCAGATACGAGGTGGGGGAGGGGTACTTAGTCCTTGATACACAGCATCAAGGACATCAGACATGGTGTAGTGGTAACACAGCCTTCGGTTTTGAAGGTGGTAGCAAGCATTGCGGGGCAGTCCTGGGTTCGAATCCCGGTGTCTGAATGGGCATAAGGCTTGCTTTTTTTTTTCAGGGTTTTCACAAAACACTTCGGTAGGCCGGGCATTCGTTCCCGCCGTACCAACCATTAATTCCGTGCAAAAATGACTTGTTGTTGCGTTGGGACTCGGAGTTGGTCGATTACCCGGTAAAATCCGTCGGAGTTCCAATTCCTATTTTTCTTGTCCTTTCCCCATACTATGTGGAAGAGGGTATTTAGCCCTTGATGCAAGATATGAAAGACATCAGACATGGTGTAATGGTACCATGGCCTCTCAGTCTGCATCTGAAAGGCTGTCGTGAGACAGTCCTGGGTTCGAATCCCAGTGTCTGAATGGTGGAGACATCATTTTTTCTATTGGAAAACATTCCGGTAAGTCCGACATTTATTCAATTCATTCGTTGGTTTAATACATTGCAACGGAGCGCATTTTGGCTCGGACGTGGTTCAAACTTCAATCTGAAGTGGCAAAATCCGGCGGAGTTCCAATCCGCATTTCCTTCCTTAGATAGGACGAGGCAGAAGGGGTATTTAGCCGTTTATGCACGGTATGAAAGGCGTCAGATGTGGTGTAGCGGTAACACAGCCTCTTTATGTAGGTCTCAACGAAGCATTCTTCTAAGGCAGTCCTGGGTTCGAATCCCAGTGTCTGAATGGTGGGGACATCATTTTTTTTTTGTTGGAAAACATTCCGGTAGGTCCGACGTTTATTTAAATTCATTCGTTGGTTCAATACATTGCAACAGTGCGCGTGGTTGGTGGGATGTGGTTTAAACTTCAATCTGAAGCGGCAAAATCTGGCGGAGGTTGAATTCACACTTCCTTCCTTAGATAGGACGAGGTGGGAAGGGTAGCCTTTGATGCGATGAGAGTGCATGAGGTACCCCGGCTTCAATTGGACTGAACTCCCCGTGTTCGAATCAATCCCAATCTGCGGCATTTTCTTTGACACGAAAAATTGAGATGAAATATTGAACACGGCATTACGGGCCGAATGAAATTCCGCATTCACGATTCTCCATACCAAATCTGCGGGCCATGAGCTGGAACTTTTCTATTTCGACGTCGGGCGTCGTTGAAATGGCCTGGCATTTACATGAATGGATCATTACCCACTTTGATTTTGGCCTCATGACGCACAGGTCTAGGGTTAGAGGCTTTTTAAATATTCTCTTGCGATGCAAAACAGTACTAAGCTGATTGTTGTAAGAAGTGCAGCATCTCAGACATAGTGTAGTGGTAGCATGGTCTCTTTTCTTGAAACCTGCATGAGAATCTTGAGGCAGGGCTTGGGTTCGAATCCTGGGATCTGAATTTGCGTTTCTTGTCTTTTCTTTTTTTACTTATTTGCCATTCCCGGCATTCCCATGTCCTGCGAAATGCATGCTTTTCTCACCTACAATGCGAACGAAAATTACTGTTCCCACAACGTCGCAATCGCCTGCTCATACTGATCCATAAACAAGCGCTTGTACTGGTCGTCACTGTGAGCATATGTTTAATAAGCCGTTTTCTACACAGTGGCGACTGGCTCTGGGAAATGACGGGCGACGTGCTCTATGGTGATACGCAGAAATTTGTCGGTGCGCTTCCCGCCCAAAAAGAGGCCTTCGGAATCGAGCTCGAGGAAGAGCACAACGACATAGAATGGGGGGAGTGCGCTGTACCGGTCCGGGGCTGGGTGCGGGTTCGGTGCTTTTTGTTTGGTGGTCTTGGGGGTTTTCTTGGGTTGCGCGGTGGTGCTGGGGTGGCGGTGGGGATTATGCGGTCGTTTTTCTTGGGTTGCGCGTCAACGGCGATCACGCGTCCCTTCCCTTTTTCGTTTCAACCTCAAAACTCCCCAAACTCGATTGAAACTCAACTGATCATTTTTTGTGTATAGGATCGCCTCGCTGCGCAAATCCATCGCGTTCATCGCGCTCTTTGGATTCCTCGCGATCACGTTTGCGCTCCTCGGTGCTGCGGAGTTTACTGGAAAGGCGCAGTGAGTCGACTTTTTTTTTGTTTGATGGGGAGAGGTGGGGTTTTTGGGTGGGGAGTTGGGGAGCGCGTTGGGACGCGTCTTCCTCGACTCGGACGCGTTTTCCCCCACGTTGGGGGCGCGTTGGGACGCGTATTTCGAGTTGGGATGCCTTCAGTCCAGTTGGGGGCAAACGTGCCTTGGCGAACGTGCCTTCGAGTGCGAGCGCGCCTCCCTTCCTCCTCCCCTCCCCCTCCTCCCTTCCCCCTCCTCCCTCCCCCCTCCTCCTCCTTCCCCCTTCCTTCCTTCCCATTACTCAAACTAACGCCCCGGCTTGCAGCGTAACAACCGCCGGCGGCGCTATGGGCATCATCACCGCCTTCATCGCGTACTACATCGGCCTCTCGGACCTGCTCGCCGCCGAGCGCACGGCTGTCGTGGGCCTGCCGACGGGCGGGTTTAAACATGACTAGGGGTTGGGTTAAGTTATCGTCTGCCTGAGGAGATAAGTTATCGTCTACCGGAGGAGAAGAGTTGGCATCTACCTGAGGAGGGGAGGGATCGAGTTACTTTACATGTCGTTGGTTGAGCATTGAGGAGGGGGAATGAGAAGAGTAGTTGAGTATGCGTATACATATATCATCGTTCGCCGACTATCGTACGCCGTCGGCACCCGAGCCCGGATCTCAATACGGGATGGAGTCGAATGTCTGCGTCCGCGATGTTAGTTGGCATTCACAGGTGCGTCCTCTCTTCGCAGTCAACCAGAAATAATTTAATCGTGGTTGGTTTAGGAACCCGTACTAATGAGCGCGGGCTGGGAAAGTGGCCGCGGTGGCAGCAGACTCGCGCGGCACGAGTGGAAGGCCCTGTCCAAGATGCGCGGTTCCTTTAAAGACTGGGTGGAGAAAAATACTCAAGAAGGTGACTCGCCCAATAGACGCTCAACAAGGTTGCAGCAGCTTGCTGCGCGCGGAAGGAGAAGCACGATGCCTGGAACGTTTGAGAGCGACGAATCGGATGACACTGATTAAGCGGCTGTATCGACTGTCCCATATAATCTATGCATTATACTTGCTCGTATATACTCGAAGGAAGCGATACAATTTCTTTACAAGAAAATAAATGCACTCAGGAGATCGTCAGGAGGTTGAACGTTGAACTTCAATGGTAATATTATGCATTTGATGCAGTTCTACCCATCTTGATTGGATTTCTGCGCACCATGAATGCGAGACGTCGCCTTGATATATCCATTTTCTCTGCGATAAAATAAGTGCATAGACAGAAAAAGAGAGAACCGGCAACTTAAACTTCACTCCTAGCTACAAGAGTGTCTGGCAGAGTGGTCTTTCTTGATTCAAGAGGTTACAATGCAGCGGCCGGATTTACCCTTGCACTGAATGTGCTTGTCGTCGCAGAAAAAAAATCGCCCTATTGCATTGTTGCTCAAAAACCTCAGACAACGGCTAAATAAGGCCAGATTCGTGACGGATTGCGGGTGTTGGGAACTGGATATAGTGATTCTGAATCTCCTACGCCGCGGGGGTCGAAATAATGGCGGCTAAAGACAGCTCATTACCGGTTGCCAGCAATGCATCATGCACTGTTCATTAGAAATTGTGTTCGAATAAATAGATCGTTTCTTGCGACTTCTCGGAGCTCCGGTATCGCAGTTTGTTTCTGGAGGATCCCGACAGGGATGCAAAGACAGAAAATAATAATTACTGAGTATCTGTCGGAACTATTAAGCTTTTAGGGGCTCGACTTCAGTAACGATCGCACCGTTATTAGGGCAAGGCTAGTCTCTTATAAACAGACGCTACAACAATTCTCGCTCGTACCTCGCGTGTTGTAGGGCAAGGCGGATTTCAGCGCGACTGTATAAACTGCAAGTACAGGATTTTCCTTTTCTCCTTCCTTGCAGGCGCGCTTAGTCCTCAGTGATTTGTATCAGGGGGACAGAAAACGCGTTTCCCGAGAGTGTGGAGGGAAAAAAAGTTATAGGTACAAGGTTACCAATTTGGAATAGGAGGTGGCGGTGCACCCGTCATTTGAAGGCAGTGTCGGCGTTAAGGCCGCGTAGCCCGTTTGACTTGACTTGAAACCACCATGACCGCCGACCTGGAGACCGAGACTTATGGCTTCCCCGCAGGCTACTTCGTTATTCGTTCTGTTGCTTCTAACCGCGTCCTCGATGTGAGCATGGACTCCATTGAAGACGGCACAGATGTCGTCCTTTGGCCTGAGAAGGACAGTGCGCTTGTGGAACGTACGATTTTGCGCCACTAGGTATAAAAGACAGCTCAGGGCTATCTCATGTAGGCCGCAGAAATCCGGAGGCCAACAATCAGGTCGGTTGCTGGGTCGACCGCAATAAATAATCTCTAATTAGTGCTTTAGGTCTTCTTCATTGACACTTCTGGGGCTCTGTGCTCCAGATCAGCGGGTCATGCTATCGATGTCGATAGTGAGAAGCCCGTACCTTGTATGAACCTTTTTATTTAACAATCTGGTCGCAGGCGACCGTCTTGTTCTCCGCCACAGGAGACCCGTATCCCTTCCTTACCCGAACACTTATTCGCACCCGACGTTTGCGCCGGATTCTACGCCCACGCCCTTGCTGCAGCCGCGCTCGCCTTCGCCGTCCTCGATTCCCACAAAATCGAGGACGGGCAAGGCCAGCGTCCGGGGCAGCACGTTCACCGCCCGGGAGGAGGACACCTGGGCGCCGCGGCCGCCGCCGGAGGATGTCTACGAGCGGCTCGAGAACTTTTTCCCCGAGCACGATCTGGACAAGCCCGTCATCGAGGCGATCTCTGGCGGGACGTCGCCCACGAGCACGGACCAGACGCTCGCGCCTGCGCCGCCCGTCCTGGCCAAGGCGCGCGTCAAGGGGAAGAAGTCGATCCGGCTCGTCGCGCAGGAGCGCAAAAGGTACATTGACCGCACCTCGCGCGGCGGCGATGGCTTTATGAACATCCAGCGTAAGCGGAGCACGAAGCTGTGGGACAGCCGGGTGGAGGAGGTGTATACGTCTAATTTGCCCGAGTCGCCGTCGACGAGCGAAGGCCCTAGTGGGCGGGGCACGCCGCTGCCCAGATTTTCCTACTCGGCTGAAACTGGGGAAATCACCGTGCACTTTACGTCGGATCCTTCTCATCCTTCTCCATCTGCTGTCGCGTCGGACGCTTGGAAGAAAAAGACTTACATCTTGGCATCTATTCCTCTACGCAAACCGCGAACCATCATCGATGATGCCCATGCATTCATTTCCTCTGCGATCGCAACCCCGCTTTCATTCTTTTCTGGTGCAACGTCTCAGCCCACGCCTGAAGCAGTGTTGAGCAGCGACCTCGATTTGGGGGAGGACGAGGTGTTGGAAGAAGAACGAGGGGAAGAAGCCGAGGTCGATGATTCCCCGGAACGGGGCAGAACCGTAAGGGTCCTTGGGATCATCAATAAATCCAAGGAAGAGCGGGAAATTGTCGAGAAAGCTAGGAATCGGCGAAGGTGGCAAGTCACCCCTCTTCGTCAAACCGATGCTCGTACGGGATAAGGTCGTTTACCAGGAGGGTTTTTCCCATCGTGTATTCTGTGGATTGTCACTCTATTGTAAATTATGTAACTAGCGCGTGTGAATGCTACAATCCGCTTGGACCGAAGTTCAACTATAAATTTAATTTCTTTCTGTCATGATTTGGCCTGGTTCAAAGATTCATAAACAGAACATTAATTCTTTTGTACGTAGAGGATTCCAATATTAATGGGCTCGCACAACGGGTGCAAAACGTCCTGTTTGCATTCATACATACGTACTACCTATTTTTTTGGCGTTGATTCAATTCAGACACTCGTTTAATCGTTTTCTGGTGGTTGGGAGCGTGAGTCCGTCAGGATGGATATATATGTTCCTTGCAAAGATGGGGGCGCTGTGTTCTTTGCGAAGGTGATTCAGAAGCGGTCGTTCGTGCGTGGTTGTGGTTGTGCTTCAACTTTAAGGTTGAACAAATCAAACACGACTTGACTTTCGCCCGCACGAATCAGCTATTATTACTTGAGGCGGAGGGGTATATAGGGGTATCAGACATGGTGTAGCGGTAACATGGCCTCTTTATATACACAGTATTTTCGTCTGCTGAGGCAGTCCTGGGTTCGAACCCCGGTGTCTGAATGCGTAACACGTGTAACCTCTTTTTGTTTCAGTTTTTTTTAAAAAACGCTTCGGTAGGTCTGGTATTCGTTCCCGCCCTACAAACCATTAATTCCGCGCGAAAATGACTTGTTGTTGCTTTGGGACTCGGAAGAGGAGTTGGTTGAACACCCGGTAAAATCCGGCGGAGTTCCAATTCACTTGCCTCCGTGCCGGCCAATGTTTCCGATGATACTTAGAAGAGGGTATTTAGCGCTTGATGCAAGGTATGAAGGGCATCAGACATGGTGTAGTGGTAACACGGCCTCTCTATATACATATCGTCTTCTGAAGCAGTCCTGGGTTCGAGTCCCGGTGTCTGAATGGGGCGGCACCATCCTTTGTTTTGTTGGAAAATATTTCGGTAGGTCCGACATTCATTCAATTCATTCTTCGGTTCAATACATTGCTACGGAGCGCATTTTTGCTCGGATGTGGTTCAAACTTCAACCTGAAACGGCAAAGTCCGGCAGAGTTCGAATTCCCATTTCCTTTTTTAGATAGGAGACGAGGTGGGAGGGGTATTTAGCCTTGATGCAAGGAATGAAGTACATTAGAGATGGTGTAGTGGTAACACCAAGAGGTCGCAGATCGAGGGATCGCACACACCCATCAAACCACGTGGAGGGACCCTCCCCCCCCCCAAATCGGGAAGGCTGCCGATGTGCCGGTTGAATCCAATCTACCATTCACTTGGAATAAGCAGCGCTATTGGCAAGTAGAGGGTCCTAGGGTACTCAGATAGTTTAGTGAGCCATAAAATCATCGAAATTATACAGGATAAAGTGAGACGAAGTGGCCGGCACATCGGCAGCCTTCCCGATTTGGGGGGGGGAGGGTCCCTCCACGTGGTTTGATGGGTGTGTGCGATCCCTCGATCTGCGACCTCTTGGGTAACACTGCCTTTGGTTTTGAAGGTGATGGCCACCATTGCGGGGCAGTCTTGGGTTCGAATCCCGATGTCTGAATGGCTGGTATATGCTTTGTTTTGGGGAAAGAATGTTTTTACTAAGTTCGACATTCATTTAAATTCATTCTTTGGTTCAATATTGCAACGGAGCGTGTTGTTGCATTGAGATGCAGTTTGATCTAGCGGCAAAGTCCGGCGGAGTTCCAATTCATATTTCCTTCCTTTAGATCCTATGAGCCGGGAGGGGTATCTAGCCCTTGATGAAAGGTATGAGGAACATCAGACATGGTGTAGTGGTAGCACGGCCACTCTGATTTTGCGAGTTATTCAAACCTTTTTGAGGCAGTCCTGGATTCGAATCCTGGTGTCTGAATGAGTGGGCGGATAACTTTTTGGGGGGCAAACATTTTGCCAAGTCCGACATTCATTTAAATTCGTTCGCTTGGTCGTATAATATACATACGCTGCAACTTGCACCGATGCGCGTTTTTCGATGGGATGTGGTTCAAACTTCAACCTGATGCGGGAAAGTCCGGCAGAGTTCCAATTCGCATTTCTTCCCGTTTCCTAGATACTATGAGCCGGCAGAGGTATTCAGCCCTCCATGCACCAGATAAGAGACATCAGACATGGTCTAGTGATAACACGGCCTCTCTCAATTCTACTCGAAGCTGCAATTTCCTGAGGCAGTCCTGGGTTCGAATCCAGTGTCTGAATGGGTCGCAGCTATGGTTCTTTTTGAATTTTTATTTGGAGCAATATTCTACAGTAGTTCGCTGGCTGCATCGAGCTTCTTCGCTCCTACAATGAAGAGTATATGCGTTGCTCCGTTGGGATATGGTTCAATGTGAAGTGGCCAGGTCCGGCGGAGTCGAGCTCCTCCCGCGCGTAGTTCGGATAAAAATAAAAAGAAGCCTAATAGTAGGGTATATGACTCTCCTTGCGATGGATGCAGCATATCGGAGATTGGGTTGCCAGTATCAGACATTGTGTAGTGTCAACACAGCTTCTTCAAATGAGCCTCCGTCGTTAGATTCATTTGCGAGGCAGTCCTGGGTTCGAATCCCAGTGTCTGAATGGGTTGGCCATCGATAGTTTTTTGGTCGCTCATTTATACTATTCTCCTGATCCATGCTCTTTTATTCGCTGCCTCACTTAAAAGCTCCTCCGGGCACAGATCTGAACGCGATCCTAATTCACCTCTCCAACATCACAATATCACTCGGGTAATTGCGGCATCCACGTTTCTTTCCACCTGCGCTCACTTGGTGCTCACCAAAGTCCTCGTCATGTTGCGTCTCCGTGCTGTCTCCTCCTCGCTTGTTAAATGCTTCTCGTTCTCTAATGCGCCTGTCGAGCTGGTGGAAGTCTTCAATTTGCACTAGCAGCAAATTTCCATTGCCCCACCCAAAGCTTACGCTCCCTGGATCCAACCACTGCCGACGCTCGCTGGTCCCTATTGTGCAGTAAGGTATATACGAAATACCAGGACCATTCCGCCTCCCGGACTTCTTGTGTTGTTGGGGCTGAATCTCCAATGTCGTGTCTGCTAAATGATTGGTTCCAACATCGCTTTGTTCCTTCGTTCGGGTCATGCTCTTTTCAGGATCGACTCAGAAGTGCTGGGTACACGGTCCTTTCCTTGCCTCCTACTTGAAGCCATCCACCCGCCCGATGTTACAACTCCCTTGTTTCCTTCATCTCCACTCGCTGCGGAGAATGTTCGCTTACTGGTCTCAGGGCTGGCTCCAAGGTGGTCAGAAATTTGGGTTTTCTGCCGCTTCGCACCGCTGGCGGCTTTTCTTGGCCCTCTTTTATTCGCGACGGAAGCCCAACACGACGCCAATTTGCAAGCAAATAAAAATGTCCCGTCTTCCTGAGCCAGATGGCTCACTCTGCGCCATGCAACTCCAGCTGATGTCCCGCCGTCTCCTCGAAAGGTGGCTTAATTAAATCATGCCTTCTACGCGGTATAACATAACTTGGAGTGCCTCGTTGCCATCTTCCTCTTGCAGATTTTTTTTCCCTCCCCACTTGCTCAAAAATCGCTCACTCACTCGACATGGTAGGCACCCAAAGAACTCGGACGTGGTGTACGAAACACCGCCTCTTATCGTTCTGCCACAGGAATACATGATGCTCGGACGCGGTTTATGATACCGCCTCTTCCAGCATCGTTGCGCCTTCGTTTTGTGAAGGATTGAAGATACAAAGAATCGGGCATGGTACCCGTCTCTCGTTGGATCAAGCTTGAAATAAGTACCCGAAGTGCATGAGGCAGCCCGGCTTCGATTGGGCTAGACTCCCCGCCGTGTTCGAATCAATCCCAATCTGTGGCACTTTCTTTGACCCGAAAAATTGAGACCAAATATTGAACACGGCATTAAATTAATATTAAGGGCCGACTGAAACCCCGTACCAATTTCGCATTGTCGATTCTCCACACCAAATCTGCGGACCATGAGCTCGAACTTGATTTCTATCTCGACGTCGGGCGTCGTTGAAACGGCCCGACATCTACAGTCGAATGGATCATTACCCAACTTTGATTTTGGCCTCATGGGGCGCAGGTCCAGGGTTAGAAGCTTTCTAAATATTTTGTTGCGATGCAAAACAGTAGCTAAAATGATCGTTAGAAGAAGTGAATCATGTCAGACATAGTGTAGTGGTAGCACGGCCTCTTTTCTTGAAATCTGCATGAGAGTTTTGAGGTAGGATCTGGGTTCGAATCCTGGTGTCTGAATTTGCGTTTCTTGTCTTTTCTCTTTTTACTTAGATGTCATTCCCGGCCTTCCCACGTCCTGCTAAATGCCTGCCTTTCTCATCTACAATGCGAACGAAATCTACTGTTCCCTCAACGTCGCATTGTTGTCGCATTGGATGTTTTTTCTTCAACCACCGGCGCCGGCCGGAGCGGACCATCGGCTGCGGCGGCGTTCCATCTTTTCTTCCTTCTCTCACCTCGCGCGCGTCGTTCAGCCTCTGGTGAATCGACCGACGATCTGTCTACTGTGCGAACCATCCTGTTGACCCACTTCCGATTGCTCAAGCAATCACTCTCGCTTGCGAATGCTCCTCGAGTCCTCGTTCTCTGGACATCCTCACGAGGTCAGCTGTGCCTCAGATGCAGCTGGCAGTCGTCGATTTTCAGCAGCAGATCCCATCTTGAAGTCCACACCCCAGTCGCTGGTCCATTTGTAGCACTCAAACTTTCCAAGACTAACGAAGCTCGAGCGTATGTTCAGGACCCTCGGGCACGGATTACGGTTTGAGGTATGAACCTTGGTGTCGCCGGCGGGCCAGATTGATGGCAGATCAGGGCTCAGGTGTTCAAGTAGGTCGACTTCAAGTTTTTTTTTCTCTACCCACTCCCAAATTGCTAGCTGATTCATCAAACTTCGCAGCACTAGGAGAAATCGGACATGATGAACGGTGCAGCCTCACTCCTTGTGATTTCTTACGGAACTCTACAGGATAACGCGGCTCCCGCACATCTATTTCTTTGGGTTGGGGAATAACCTGCCGTCCGGCCGTATCTGAATCACGATCTCACCAACCTCGGTTTCACAACGTCGCCGATATGGGGCCGCCGCTCAGAAATGTGCGGGGCACCGTGCATGCTTACCCGCCTCTCTCCTTCTAACTTAGCGCCATCGACCATGGCTTCGTCTTCCTGCCTCTTTGCTCCGAGGCGTGTTGTACCCCCATATGTTACATCTGAGTATGGACCAACTCGATCAAAAGGTCGTGAGTCTTGGGTTGCTGCCTCTCTCATGAGCGGGATGCCGACCGATTACCGTACCCCCGTCTTCGCTGGATCGAAATTTCTTTCCGTCGTGCGATTGCACCATCCAGCCTGGACGTTTTCCCTGAAACGGCGACCCTTACCCCTCCTTCGCTGTTATTCAGGGGAATTATCAGTGCGCCGCACACTTCTGCTCACCCCTTCGGCACTGAACCCCAATTAATAGCGCGTGGTCGCGATGCGCTATGTCCATGACTCCATCTCTACCGTGAAAATCATTCCCTACTCGGTCAATTGCGTGCTCAACCTGGTGCCCAGTCGGACACGGCAACAGTGTACGAAGGAAGAGACATGTTTTATACAGGCCAAGTTCTCTAATTAGTGGGTAAGTAAGACGCATTATGTAATTTCGTTGCCGGCGTCGATGACTCTTCGAAGAATTAAATAGCTTTGAATAGCTGAACAGACATGGCATGAAGGCGTCTCGCACAATTGCGTGTATCTGAATAATATGAGGTCTTATTCCTCTCGAGTCTCAAACGACGCGATCTCTGTCACGTGGTCAGTGGTTCAATTTGACAAATTCAATGTTCGATTTTCCGAGTTCACGCTATACACCATGGAGCTTCTTCTACATTAACTCTTCCCTTGCTTCTTGAATACTTCCATTTCTTCAGGCGACACCGCTCGGTTCTCCCGCTTCCAAATATTTTCTTCTTCCGTATTCGGCAAAGGCGGGGCCATTCCATTTTCGTTCCAAAGTGCGCGCTGTGGGTTGACAAAAATGAAGGTGAACCTTCCATCAGAGCCAAAGTTGGATGATGAGCCCACCTCTGTCTCTTGGATCGAGACCTCCCAGTCAATTTGTCGGCCTTTCGTGAACGGCGCAATCGCCTGCTCATACTGATCCATAAACGAGCGCTTGTACTGGTCGTCACTGTGAGCATATGTTTAATAAGCCATTTTCTACACAGCGGCCGGCGACTGACTCTGGGAAATGACGGGCGACGTGCTCTATGGTGATACGCAGGAATTTGTCGGTGCGCTTCCCGCCCAAAAAGAGGCTCTCGGAATCGAGCTCGAGGAAGAGCACAACGACATAGAATGGGGGGAGCGCGCTGTAAACGCCCGTCACAGCGGCAGCGATGGCGTCCTTGTCTTCGGAGGAGTACAGGCCCTTGGGCGTGAAGAAGCGGTGCAGAGGCATTGTAGTTGGTGAGGTACAGTAGACTAGGAAGTGGTATGAAAGATTTCGACGCGATGTGGTCTTTTATCCAAAGAAGTGCTTCGGGCTGCATTCGGGCTGCATTCGGGCTGCATTCGGGCATGACTCAGTTTAGGAGACAGAGCGGGCTTGGTTGACTCTGCCTGTGTTGCTTCTGTCGGTCAGTGGCCTCGGTGAGGGACGGCATTGTGAGGATTACAAATTGGGGGAAGATATCTCGGGGTTGACCGGCGAAGAAGTTTAAGAGGAGATTGCGGCTGTTTATAGCTCACGATTCCACTCTTGGCTTGCTTGATTGTTACGAAGCCAACTGCGCACAACTTGAGGCCTTGTATTTATTTATACATGTGCGCATGGTATCGACTCGGCCATATACTAATTCAGACTGGAGATCCCCGACCTCTTCAGGTCTGCAGACAAATCATTAGAGCTATTGACTGGTTCGACTGTGAGAAGGACTTACTTTTCGGAATGTTGGGGCGAATCGAAGTAGCCCACACAGTGGAGAACGCACTACATAACATGAGACCAGTCCACTATCCAAGCACAGGGCTACCAACGTACTTTGGTTCGCCGAGATCATTTAGGTCGCCGGGCTCGAGGCTCCCTGTGTCGGGGCCACAGCACGGGGAGTTGGTTCCCCAGAGCGGGCCCGCGGCCCAGATGGACCATCCAATCCATTCGTCATTAGCGGCCAGGTATTGCACGAGATCGTCGATAAACTGTCGTGCGCAGTGGGCTGGTTCAGGAGTGCGATGTTGTCGGATGTCAAGTAACGCACCTGGAAACAGTTTTCATTGTCGCCTCCGCCGAATTCGCTTAGGACCGCTCTAAAGGAAATTGGGTAAGCAGACGCATATATTATCGATACCAGCTCCTCACTTCAGGTTGTTCTCGCGTAGCCAGGTCGTCAGATTAGCGAGGTTGGCGGGCCCTGGGACGATATATGAGCCGCATCATGGCGTTCGAAATCCGAAACGCACCAGGTTGTGTACATTCCGCATGTCCGCCGGAGAAATCAATGTCTAGGGCATCGTGGTGTCGGTCAACTACTACGTGTTCACCGACAGCGCGACTAACCCAAATACTAATATAGATTCGTCAAGAAAAGGGGGAGCTCATTAGAGGAGCAAAGCGCACCTCATGAACGTCGATTGCGGTATTCCGTATCGGGTCGACCAGTTTGTTCATGAAATCGCTCGAGGGGGCATCGCCAGCAGCCCCGGTGAGCTGCGTCCAGGAATGACCTCCGGTGAAGCCATTTCCTGGGGCAAGGATGAGCTGGCGTGCGCCTGCGGCACGGATGCCGTTTATGGCAGCCTGGTCGTTTTGCAGGAGCAATTCTGTGGGCTTCGAGCTCGTTAACGGGGTTTGGTTGAATTGTTTGTGGGACGTAATCGAACCATGTCGTGGGGCTCATTGTTTATTCCGAACACGACGTTTGGGTTGTGCACGAACCGCAAGGCGAGTTCGTTCCAGAATTCCTCGAACTGTCTGGTCGTCGCGGCCGTGGGATCTGAGGTATTTCCAATGACCTGTCGATATTGGTCGGCTATACGTCCGCTCGAGAAAATGAAAGCATACGCTTCCTGTGAAGGGTTGCATGGAGGGATCGCTGTGGATGCATCAATAAAAATGAGGTACGAGCATCCATAAAACCAGCGTACTTGTATCGCATATAGTTATGAGGGTCGATCAAAGCATATGCGCCCTTCACCAACGTGATATAATTAACTGCGTCGGCATACTCTTCGAAATACTGCACAACTTCAGTGTCCATCTGAAATAATTTTAGATGGATAGCTACCGTCTCGTTGAACTTACTCCCCAGCCCAAAAGCGAGGGGGCACATCCTTTCCATGAGGAATGTGACGCGGAAGAAGTTGATTTTTTCTGGGTGTTTGGTCGAAAAGAGTTTGTAAAACGGTATATTCATATGAATACCTTGGTCAACAAATATGTCCACGGTGCTCTGGGACGTGTCATTGGGGGATGAGAAGATACACTGATTCCACAAACTTTGTTTATGAACGCATAATCCACGCCGAAGCGTCCGGGTAAGCCCGTCCCAGGCGCAGCCACCGAGGAAAAGACGCCAAACTCTCCTCCAGACTAAATGACGATGAGTAACCAAGAACGAACCGCACGAACAGTGTTCGTACCTCGTTTACTCCAGCATATAGGATTTTGGCCCACGCCGCGGCGAGGAAAATATACGGGGTGAGGTACGACAGAAGCATCGAGGGTTGAGAAAGAATGCAAGGTAACTGACGGTTCTTATATCCGCGAGCGAAGGGTATGAAATACCATAATTGAACAGCGTTCCCCACCACGGGACATTGTCGGCGCGACTGGCTTCGAAGTCTCCTTGACAGTGAGCACGCGACCTCTGGCCTCAAGCCGGAAGCAGTTTCACGTCGAGGATTTCAATGATCCAGCGACGAATAGGCTCCACTGGGAAAGTCATTTGGCGGGTGTTGCAGTTGCGGTTTGGGTTCCGAGACGATTCGATCCCAGGTGGGGAAAATGAGGGAAGGTGAGTTGGATTTTATCCGAAGATGAGATTCCGCAGTTTCGGGAGCAGAACAATGGTGCGTGCATCGCAAGATGGAGGGTGGATCACCTGAGGCTGTGTTGCTGCTTTATCTTTGTTTACCCCCCTCTTCTCTTCTTCAACCTTGACATCGACGACGTACCCAAGCCAACGGATGGATCTCTGCAATCTCGGCCCGACTGTATCCGGCAGATACCAGCTGGGTATTGGGCTGGATCT